TTTTTCTCTTCTCCCTATTTCTCTTCCCCCTTTCTTCTTCCTTTTCCTTTATCTCTGCCTCTTCTTCTTCCTCTTATTTTTCTTTCCCTTACTCTTTCTCTTCTTCATCCTCTTATTCTTTCCCTTCTTCTTTTTTCTCTTGCTCTTGCTCTTGCTCTTTCATTTTTCCTTTTCCTTTATCTTTATCTCTTCATTTTCCCCTTCCTCTTCCTCTTTATCTTTCTCTTCTTCAGCCTCTTCCCCTTTCTCTTCTCCTTCCTGTTCCTCTTCTTTCCCTTCCATTTCCTCTTCTTCTTTTTTCTTTATCTCTTCTTCATCTTCTTCCTCTTCCACTTCCTTTTCCTCTTTAGTTCGATACAGGCCTTGGAAACCGCGCGAGTTAAGGAGCGTGCCGGCGCGTGCTGCGAGCTTTGGACAGATCTGGTTGCTTGCCAGACGGCACTCGGACATCAGTTGCCGCTGGACACTTACCTCCTTAAGCCTGTGCAGCGCGTTCTCAAGTACCAGCTCCTATTGCAGGTGGGCCGGACAGTTTAATTTTTTTTCTTATCTTCTATTAAGCGAAGCTTGGTACTAAGTTCCCCTTTATCCCGATTGCTGCTGGTATGCCTTTCATTTGTTTTGAAGTGGCGGGCTAGAATGTTTTGTAAATTGGCCTCGCCGGACTCAGAATGTGAACGTCTGACTGCTGGATTGTGCGAAGTAGGCCCCACCTCTTTGGACATCATCCAAATATGAAATGATCATTTTCTTAAAAATTTCTCTGAAAACTCTAAACCGAGAAAGTTTGTGTTTATAACTTTTGATGAGTTTTTTGCTTTCTATTTGTTTCTGGCACTGACAATGTCCATCACCTCATGGAAGAAAGCTGCACACGTATGAATCAGGGTCGCTGAACGCTTATCCTAGGTCTTCTTCACACATTCCAGCAGTCGATTTCAAGGAATTCTCTTCTGATGTACAGCTAGATTAAATTACGAATCTCTTCCACCCGCCTTCTCAAACGAAATGCAAGGCATACCAGCATTGCTCTCATCCCTTATGTACAACTCTGTTTTAGTTCTGCTTTAACCGCCGGAAGCCTGATTCAGATGTTGTCATGTCTCTCCAATTCGGCGCTCTGTCTGGATCATGACACTTTTCAGCAAGAACACACCATTCAACTCTCGTTTTCCGAAGAGACGATCTGATGTTTCTAGCCCGGTTGGCATTACTAGATTTCTCAAATGCACATTTTCCTAGGTACATTACAAAAAGATCACCAATTTTGGTCTTGAAATTGCACCGGGGAATATTTTTTGCGTGTTCTGTTTCCAGTCATGACAGGCTTAAAAGTAGGATTTTGTGATTATTTTTCACTCGGCCTTTGATTTCGTGGAACAAATTGGCTGGAAATTGTCATAACCATAAGTCAGTGGAAGGCTGTCCTGCAGTCATGAACGTCGATTTTTGCAAAAGAAGTTCTCTGAGCGCCTCCCATCTGTCCCAGAATGAGGAGAATCTTCAGAGCATACAATTATTATGTAAAAAGTTGTCATAACCCTGTCCCCCCCCAAAAGGGTTAGGGTTTGATACAAGCGAAAGCTCAGTCTGGAAGGATCGCAGATGTAGCACCGTGGCATTCTTCGTTCGAAATAAACATTCCAAGAGGCAAAGCAATCCTTCTTTCATTTTTGGTATATCCCTTTCACGAACCCTCTACAATCACAATAAATAAAATGTTCAATGCCATGATATTCGTCTGTTTATCTGCATGCTTGTTTGCCAACATTCACTAAAACGAACAAGTGAGCTTCGAAGATCTCCTTTATAGTTTGATATAGCTCCACCTTTGATTTTGATGACAAATTTGGTTAGATGGGATTCCAGTTGTTTAGTTAGATCACAGATGAATGCACAACACGAACGCAATGGGGTCGCATGACTGTGAGCCCAGAAATATTTCTCATAATCCCGAGACAATCCTGTTTCGGTTCTCGGCGAGGCAGATTCATGAATTCCTCCCAATCAATTTGTCCATACTTTTGTCTGTCTTTATATCTTTCTGTCTGTCAACAAGTGGGGTTTCGAGACTACCAGTAATCATATCATTGTGGGAAAATTCAACAACCTTGAACGAAATAGAGTTAATAC